TCCTTTGAAGAGGGAGCCATTAAAGAACGTAACTGGAAATCAAAGCAGCCTCAGACAAAGTATGAGCACACTCAAACAGGACTTTCAAAATGAAACCCACTCCCAGCAACTTGTCAGGGAGACTTTGAAGGTAACGAACAGCCATTGCCACACCAGTTTTGTTGCATTTTACTTGGTGTAATTTAGCTGGTGTCCTCTTACCAATTTAGGGACAGAAAGCACGTGTATGGCATACATAATGCTCTTGGCAGCTCTGATGTATGCTTAAAAGCACCAGAGCCAAAAACAACAGCATGCCCCTGTTTCCCACAGGACATCCCTAGGTCTTTTCCCACTCCACCTCTCTGAGCCACATCACCAAGGGTGAAATGCAGGGTCTTTGAAGAAGGGGAAGGCACGCCCCTTGCTCTGCTCATGCTGGCATTGCCAAGGATGCTACTGCTTTGCAAAAGCAAAGCCTCAGCCATCAAAACCTCAGCCACCAGGAGAAAGCATCCTTTCAGTATCAGACACATAGGAAAGGCTGCTAATTCTCACAGCATCTGTCAGTGCGGCATTTCCAATCTAAGGCCTTGTGCCATGCCTACAGATCTCTCCCAGCTCACCGTCAGCAGCCTCACAGCTCAGCTGCATGGAAACCCAGGCTGTGGGTCCACCCTGGTCCCCATGTCCACCTGGCACCTGCTGCATGCCCCAGCCAGCTCACTGCTGCTGCACAGGGTCTGTTGTCAGAAGTCAGAAACCTCAGTGCTAAAAAACACAGTGGGAGTGATTTCTCTAAGCAGCAGCTGAGACTGCCGGGGAATGGACTGTTGATTCAATGAAGCCTGACCTACATTTGATAAACTTTGGCGATAGGTGCAAGTCTAAGTAGAGTATGTGTGCCAAATTGGAGGCCCACAGCCAAACACAGAACCTTTGTCTGTGGTGTTTCCAGTGGACTCCAGCTCACACACAGTTACTCTAACACAGCTGTTGTGATGTTGCTACAGTGGCTTTTCCTCTTCTGACAGCATTTCACCTCTCTTCCATCAGAAAAGATAACTGAATACATGAATTGTTTGGGACTGAGCTGGCATCCCCACACAGGTGCCTCTGTGCTTTACTCCTTAAATGATATTCACAGATGCACCAAAGCCTGGGACTCGTGCAGAGAGGGGCTCTTTCCAGTCACTCATAATGCATTCCCCTGCATGCATATGATTTGGCAGAGCACAGTGTATTTTATATGCCATCCTGCAGCATGTGCTGCACCCGCCTTGTTTTTCAGCTAAGTTTGCTGTCTGCATCTACTTGCTTTTTTTTTTTCCTCCACCAAGCACAGCTTTTTGTAGGACTTAAAGTACCAAAATGCCAGTGAGTTTGCCAAAAGCTGTTATTTAAAGAAATCCATGCAAAAACTTTTAAAAAACTAGACGGTTGGAGGACAAGGCTCCAAGAAGAGATCCATGTTCTTGTTTCTGGACTCCCACATTGTAGAGAGGCTCTGGCCATAGCAGCACCCATGGAATGCCTTCAGGGGAGCAACTCACCCACTAGGCTGACATGTGAGAGAAGACCTGGCCGCTTACAGAAATACTCAGCAGATTCCCAGAAACTGGGTTATGGGTGCTATTCAGAAAACTTTCATCCTAGACTTGAATACACCTGCTGGGGTTTTATTTAGCATTTTTGGCTTGTGGTAGAAGTCACTATTACACTATTGCTATCAAGGTGCTCTGAAGGCTAAGTCCTTGCCCTGAGGAGCTACGACAAAGACCTAATCCCCTCAGCACTTACATCTGTGGCACTGCACAAAAAGGTAAACAAGTACTTCTGTGTTCAAGCATCTGCTGCACTGAGTCATAAGCTGTTTCCACATTAGTGGAAACGGAGCAAAGCTGGGCTGAGAGGAGAGACAAGTGTACATGTACTTATTACATATTGTAATGCATAAAGTGTAGATCTGCATTCTACTTCGGCAGATCAGAGTGCTCAGATGTTATTACTAACACATTGTAATTATCTTTTGTCAGTGATCACCAAAAGCAAGGTCTGCCTTGTGTTAGAAGTCTGCTCCAAAGACCTTATACTCTAAAAAGATCTTTTTATGCTGCCAGCAAGGGAGAACAACTCAGAAATAGCTGAAGGCTGCTGAAGTACAGGAAAAGAAGTATTGCCAAGTTAAATGGTATCTCTAGATGCTTTTTGTCTGCAGGTATCCAGCCCAATTCAGTTGTGTTTAAAGTGACAGATCAAATACTATCTGATCAAGAAATATTTCCTAAGTAAAAGCTTACCTAACAGCTCCAGAACTAGCTTTGAGAAAGTAGATTTGGACCTTTTTATTTAAGCATTGCAATTGTGACATTTTTCTTTTTGATACTTTGTGACAGACTTGCTCTTTTTTTGTCCCTCTCCTTTCATTTATGACCCTACTGTACCTAGCAGTGATTAAAACATCCCCTAGTGAAGGGAAAGCTTTACTGAAACTAATAGTTTGTAGCTGGAGCTTCCATCCTAGCCAATATTCATTATAGTTTGTGGGTGTCCTTATTTTTCTACAGAAACTAACTACAGGTTTTACTGCAGCATCTGTAATAAATAAGCCTTCTGCACAGAGTAACTTATATCTTGCCTTAGTCAAGCCAAACAAAAAAAGACCTATTAACGCTCCTTCCTTTGGGTTTTGAAATAAATTGGACAAGTTGTCAAAGAAGTGAGCAAACACATTGAGTACTGCTTTTCAGAAACTGACTGATGGAAGTTATTGGGAGTCAAATACAACAGGAATTTCAAAGCTGATAAAACATCTCCCAGGTCAATCTATCAAAGTTTAAATGCACACCTGTGTTTCAGAAAATGCTTTCTTCCTGTCTCAAGGCTTCCTAATAGAAGTTAATGGGTTTTAATCTAAGTCCTTGATTATTGTTTTTTTTTGTTTGTTTGTTTGTTTTTTTGGCATCCACCAGTTTCACAGGAATGGGAATAGACACCAGTATTTTCATGCAGTCAGACATGTCTGCAAGTGCAAGTTTGAGCATCAGGTTTAAACACATTGGAAAGCTTTTAGTTTGCATATTACTACTAAATCCTTCAGGAGTAGGTCCTAAACAGGTTATATAGGTGAAGATTTCAAAAGCTGGTGAGGATTCCCTTCCTGACTTTTACTGCCATCATATATTAGATATCCTCAACAGAACTCAGTTCATTTTCTTTGAAATGAAGGAGATGTCAGAACACTTAAAGCCAGAGTAAGAGACTGCAAGAAGCTTAATTATTGTCTTGCTTCCAGGCACAGATATGTGAGTTTGAACACCTCTGGGTTTAAAAAGTCTTAGACTAAAACAATTTCATAAGAAGTAAAATTCAAGAATGGAGATTTGCTTATCATGACTTCTGGCTACCAGGGAAGACAAAGCCCCTTGAGAGCAGCACTATATATTGCACTTCTTTGCCTCAGCCATCATAAGTGTCCATTTTATTCTAGGCGGTTTTAATGACTGAAGTATTTATACTTCCAGTTCATCAACTACTTCCAAATTAATTATGCATTTTATATTTCATTAGACTATCACCTGACCCATACTTATGGCTCACTAGGAATTTACTGGAAGAAATATTTTTTGTCCTTTAGCTTAAGTAGAAAAGTCACATTAAGCTCAAACACTCTGGATTAAAAACCTACATCCAACGTAAGAGAGCCAAAATGCTCCACTGTGATAAAATATGGCTTTTGTCAGGGGAAAATAACCTATTCATGGAAACTAAGTATTAGAAATGCATTAGAATTTACCTAGCAGAGCAGACAACTCAATTTATTGATGTTAAACACAGGCCATCCCACATTCAAACAGCTCCAGTTTCCTCTGCTACATCAAGGCAAGACTTCAGAAACTGGGGTCTCACACATCAGTGGTGTGGATTTTTTTTTTTTGGGGGGGGGGGGGGCTTTTCTAAACTGAGTGCCCCAAACCCCAAATGTGATACACTGGCCCCAAGCTATGCTCCACTGAGATTAATGCAACAGTTCCCCTCAGCTCTGCTGTAGGGTCATGGACTTGATTTAAGCTGTAAGCCTTTCTGCCTCCAGTTGCAAATACATGCAACAAATACTTCAGTCAAGGTCATATGCAACATCTCTTCAGAACTAGAATAGCCTGCTGGTACTACTCCATTCCTTCTCAACAACCAGGAGCCGAGCAGCTGCCAATGAGCCCTGCATTCAGCTCCCCACTCTGAGCCCACAGACAGACACCTGGGAGCCCCTGTGTGGGGCTGTCTCATCTCCCACTCTTCTGGAAGCAGCATTTGCATACAGAGAACAAGAGCCACACCGGGTGCACTGCTTAGCATTGCGTGTCCTCCAGGCACACTTTGTCCTCTGAGCTATCTCCAGTGCTAATTTATTACAGCGTTCAAAGCAGCGGGCCTCCGGCAGTCCCTCCCACAGGAAGCTGGCTGACTCATTTTTCTACACACTTTATTTTTCTCTCCACAAGAGCCAAATTCTTAGGTCAAGAATAAACCACAAAAAAAGGGAGGCTCATGTTTAAGCACCTCCTAAAACATGTTCACAACCCACATCCACTTGTGAAGCTATTTCTTCCAAACAATTAACATAGACATTACACCTTGCCAGAGTTGCCCCCCCCATATGACACACAACTGTGTTCGTTTTTGCTGCAAGCAGCTGTTCCTAATCCTGTAAGATGCTTTAGCCTAAGCTAGTGGTTGTTGACTTCAGCCAAACAGGTATCTTAGTACTCACTGACAAAGAAGATGAAGACCACCATTTTGTATTAATTCCCTTGAGCTCTTTTCCAAACAAACCCACGTATATTCACTTTATAAACTAGTTGTATCAAGTAGTCTTCCAGGAAAGTTAAGAAGAACGGCATTGCCAGAAAACCATTGACTGTCCACTCTTCTGTACTTGGTGATGCAGTAAGAATTCACTATCCCTATTAAAAGGATTTTTCAAGGTCACTTGGAAAGGAAAAAAAAGAAAAAGGCAGTACCTTATCATGTCGGGGCATTAACAGCAGTTATCTCCAGCAGCACTTCCAGCTCTCCAGCCTCAAGAAACATGGGAAGCAACCAAAGCCAGACAACGTGAGCACTTTTCCCCTCAGAACGGGCAATTCAACTTCAGGCTGAGCAGAATCATATTTTCTGAAGGTTTTCACCAAAGAACTAAACATCTGTGCTCTCACAACATTTCCCTATCTCAAAGGGCAGGTACAAGCCAAACCCCACAGAGAAAAAAGTACCAGCTGGGCCCTGTTCTCTCTTACAGGCAGCTCCCCCACTGGCCTCTGCCTCTCAGGTGTGAAGCATCTGAGCTGATGATGCATTAACCCATTGCCATCCACTGCATCACTGGGGTGTGCTGGAAGGAAACCACTCACATTCTTTGTTTGTTTAGTTTAAAACTCAGGTAAATAGGAGTGATGTTAAAGGACAAGTTGAGCAATTAACTATTTGTCCTATAGAAGGGAAAAAATGAAGAGAGGACAGATCTGGAGCAAAGACTTTTCATTTTCTTGCAAGCAATAAAGTATCTTATTTCTAAAACACCATGGCTGTATAAGAAGTGCAGATTTGAGTATGGGATGCCACTGCTCTCCTGTGTCTCACAAAGGCCTCTCAAAGACATTTCCTAACAGTAATGTCTCCTAAGCTTGATGCTTATAAGAGCAATTTCAGTGCTTTGTCTCAGTTACCAGGCTCCTTGATTTGGCAATTACAAACCCTCATCCTTTAGGTCTTTGATTCCCTTCTTTCTTAATAGGTCATTTTTTTACTAAAAATATGCTCATTTCTTCTTTAATCCATCCATTCTGTTGTCAGTATAGGACCCCTCAATCACTCTAGTGGGCCTGTGCCCTACAATATCAGTCTGTTAAGGGAAGGTGCATCAACCTGTGTGGCCGTAACAGAGGAGGTCAGGCAGACTGCCACATAGTCAAACCCTTGTGTCTAAGCAGATATGGATTTATTGGCTTCTCTGAATAAGGAGAAGGAATAACCAGGAGGAGACCCTCAATGGCATAAAGACCATTGCAGATAGCTGGGCATGAGGGCATATGGTACAAAGGTATCAAGTGCCAGATGTGCAGTAGTTTGCCTGAATTGCACTGAAAAAGGTAATAGAGGGAGCACCACATTCTGTACACAGTTTCACATAGATGTATGATTTCAGTGCCAGGACCCAGTGAGGACAATGCAGACTGGATGCTGTATGCCCCTACCACGGCCAGCTCGTAGATCTTACCTACATGAAGGAACTGAGGGTCAGAAACAAGATCCACTGGGGAGTGGGCTGATGGGTGCAGCGGCAGGTTACAGAGGTGGTTCCTGAGTAAAAGGAAATCTGTGTTAGAAAGTAAATCATACGTGCGATATGTAAGCAGATATACTCACTTTGGTTACTAGTATCAAATCCACCTGCTAGACTGCTTATAGCTTGTGGGTATATAATAGAGATATATATTACATACTGATACCCTAGCACTTTCACAGTGTAAAAAAATCTGATTTTCTAAAAAGTATAGTATGGGATCAATGCAAACAACCTCTGTTGGATGTTTACAAACAAAATATTTTGGAAGTGTTGCCAGTTTCCTAAGTTCTCATTTTCCCATGTAACTTGTCTGTGTGATAACAGCTCTCACACCAGGACCAAGCTACTACAGACTTTGTGTGGTTGAATTCCCCAAACTTGGACAGTACCAGAGCAAGGGACCAGGCAGTGAGAGAAGGATTCAGTCCCACCATGTCATTTTGCAGAGATGGGGACAATGCTGGCCCTGGTCATGATGAGCATCGCTCCCCAGCTCCAAATGGCCTGCTCTGTACTGAGGAGCAGCAGGAAGAGGTCCTCCAGAGAAAGCTTAGCCATATCTTCCCATGTGCAAAGTGTGTAACTGCAGATTACTGATAAAGCTAATAAAGCTGATAGCTGATACAGCTAATTGTGTGCCTGTGGTGGGTTCACCTTGGCCCTGCCAGCTGTTCTCTCACTCCACCACCTCCACAGGATGGGGGGGAGAAAATAAGATGAAAAAGTTTGTGGATTGAGACAGAGACAGAGACAAGGAGATCACTTACCAATTACTGCCACAGGCAAAACACACTGAACTTGGGGAAAATTAATTTAATTTATTGTCGATTAAAATAGATTTGGATTGTGAGAAACAAAGACAAAATTAAAGCAATAATGTTCCCTCCGCCCTCATCTCCCATGACTCAGCTTCACTCCCTCATTCCCACCTCCTCTCCCTCCCTTCCCTGAGCCACGCAGGTGGATGGGGAACAGGGGTTGTGGTCAGTCCTTAATGGTTCCTCTCTGACACTTTCTCCTCACACAGTTTCCCCTGCTCCAGCATGCATCCTTCCTGTGGGCTGCAGTCCCTCAGGACAAACCTGCTCCGCTGTGGACTCCTCCATGGGTGGCAGGGGAATCTTGGCCACAACACCTGCAGCACCATCTCCTCCTCCATCTCCTCCTCCTCCTCCTCCTCCTCTCTTCTCACCTCAGTGCTCTCAGGGCTGATACTCACATTTTTTTCCTCACTGCTGGGCAGCCTTTTGCCCTTTCTTACCAATTTCCCTGAAGTGCCACCAGCTTGCTGAGGTGCTCAGCTGAGCCCTGAGGGGAGGCTGCTGTGGAACCTTCTGGAACCAGCCGGAACAGGCGGCCTGGCTTCTCCTCACAGGTGCCCCTGCTGCCAGCTCCTCAGCACAGATACCCCCTAAAATCCTAAAATCTACCCCTCACCTCCATGAAACACATACTTAAGAATTGTCATTACAACCCACCCTCATCATGCAACCTTCACAACGTTCTCTTATGTCATCAGCCACAGAAACGTTTCCCCACACCAAAATCATCACAGCATGGCAAAGGTGGGCAATGTACACACTCTATGCAGGTCCACCCCGTCCTCCATCCACTACCTTACAGCAACAAAAAGAAAATCCCCACTATTTTCCCTGTCCCTGGCTATGCCCAGTCCAAGCTTTGTCCGTCCCCCAGTCACTGCCTTTATCTTGAATTCCTTGTCTGGCAAGTGATCTCCTCGACTGGTAAGTGATCTCCCTGTCTTCATCATAACCCACAGGCTTTTTCACCTTATTTTCTCCCCCATCCTGTGGAGGATGAGTGAGAGAACAGCTGTGTGGGTGTCTGGTCAAGCCACCACAGCAGCATTGCCCTGACGGGGCTGTTGTGAATGTCACAGGGGCCATCCCTCAGGGAGTCCCTCCGTGCACATCAGTCAGCAAGTGCAAACCAGAGCCCTCAAAAGGTGACGAATAACGAGTGCTGTGTGGTCGCTGTCACGTAAGCAGTTTCCTGGATAGAATAATGCTTCGAATAACAATTTAAATTTGACCTGAATTTAAAGCTTCAGTAAATATCTCTCAAAGATGCCCAGACTGGGCAACCTCAAGGTATGCAAAATATAGATGGCTGTTTACGGTGTGCCAGGAGCTGGACAACAGCCATGGCCTCACCACTTCCTTGGCATGGGTCAGTTAGCCCAGAAAATCAGGCTTCCCACTGCTGCTGACGGGCACCAGGGTGCTGCCTGTGGTGGTGGGAGAGCGACCCCAGCCCTCCCAGGCCTCCCTCGGCAGCCAGATTAATGGTCTTTATTATTATTATTACTCTGAAGCAAGATGTTTGTAATTTTCTCCTTTGCTTGCTTTTCAGTAGCCAAATATATTTTCCTCCCTGTGAAGAGCTGGGAATCCAGGAACCTGGAGCCAGAGTAGGCAGCGATTAGTGACTGGAAGTGTTAATGGTACCACAGTGGGAACGGGGAGTCCCTTGAACTGAGCTATTAGCAAATTAATAAAAGGGGTAACACGCTCTCCTGAGTGTTACAAATTTAGCGCTAATTAGGGTTTCTTTTCCTTAGCTATTTTAGGCAAGTAAATCTTCAATATCCTTTGTTAGATTTGCATCATCTTGTTTGTAGAAGTAAATCATATGGCAGCACTGTTTTCTTTACCCAGCTACAGTCCATTAGACTTTTTGCATTCATCTTTTTCTTTCTGACATGACTTATAGCTGGGTATTTTGTATGCAGTTAGAATTCTTTAGCAAATCTTCCTCCAAAAGAGGGTTTTCTTTTCATGAAACTAACCTGCAGGCCATTCATTTCTCACAGTCCGTCCCAAATGTTACAAAGCACTCCTGTTGACAGGAGCTTCAGTGCTCCAGTTTACTTACATTTATTTTATTTATTTGTCATATATTCCAGATGTTAAACCCCATGGAGTTATTGTAACCAGTACCCATTTTCCTGCCAAATATGTACACGGTTTCATGTGTTTTAGCACTCTAGAATTAATAAGGAGAGAAACTTACCAGCCTTGCAATGAAAAGAAGTCCCTAATTAGAGCAGAGACCAAAATGTCCTGCTCTTCCTTTCCTCGTGCATAGCCCAAATCTCATCTAAACCTTGCCTGAAGTCCAGAAAACAAATCTCACAGTTGATTGAATATATCTAATTGTGAATTGATGTCTACGCTTTTGCAGATATGTTTCAAACACTGCCTGGTGGCTGTGTTGGCTAATTTTCCTATACCCAGGAAATTAATTCTTTCTTAACTACAGAGAAAAGCTACGATATTGGGTGATATAAGTCTGCCCTTCCAAAATGAATTTTACTTCACTCTAACAAAATCAATGTATTACTAAATGGTTGATGTAACCACAAAAAGGTTCTAACTTTTAATGTTTAGGAAAACACTGATGGGGAAGAGAAAGCACTACAGTTTGTATAATAAGAGCAAAGCCAGACTGGTTGAGGCAGAATAAATCCACTTCAGTTTAGCAGACATGAAAGTCATAGCTTATTTGAGCAATGAATGGAAAATGTAGATAGAAGGTTACATCCTCTGATGATATAAAATAAAAGAGCATGTTTGAAATAATCAGTAGCAGGCTCGTGGTTTAAAATGCATGTGAATGTATGCACACACCTACAGAGGTGTGAGAACAAAGCAGAGACCACATAAAAATATATCAGAAAACCTGCAGAATATTGTACGCTGTCAAAGTGGCTATCTATGTAATATTCAAATTTACATGAAAATCTAGACTTTATAATCAATTAGAAGGGGTAATTTGGCAGCAGTATTAATAACCTCTGAAACAAATGTAGCATGAAAACTCTACAGCACTAACTGTAGCTCAGCTCAGAAGACTTTTTCTTTCATACAAAAACTTGTATCTTTGAAAAAGGTGAGACTAAATGCATCAGCTATTTCTCTGCCTGGAAAAAGAAAAAAAAAAAAAA